TCCTTTTGATGTCACATCATTGTTCACTTTATTCAACCACAAACTCGCCAGAGAAACCATAGCGGAGCAGCTTCAGAATACACGGCAGAAACCATGGAACCCGAAAGTCTATGCAAGCTGTTGAACTTCCGCATGGATACAGACTTCAACTTTGATGGACAAATACATCGACAGCTGAAAGGAACTCCAATGGGATTTCCAATATCAGAATTCATTGCTGAGGCGGTAGTGCAAGAATTAGGGCGCGCGGTACTGCCAATCATCAATCCAACGCTGTGGATCCGCTACGTAGACGACACGTCTGTCATCATGAAACGGGATTCAGTGCACGAGGCACGTGAACGGCTGAACACCACTTTTAAAGATATCAAGTTTACAATCGAACTGGAGTGAAACAACCGACTGACATTCTTGGACGTTTTGGTGAACAGAAAGGTGGATGTGACTCTGGAAACCTGCGTTTACCGAAAAGAGACTCGTTCGGATCTGATACTGAAACACAACAGCAATCATCCAGTAAACCACAAAATTGCTGCGCCCAGATACTCGTCAATAGGCTGGAGACACACTGCTGCACCACAGAACTAAGGAATTAGGGAGAAAATCACCAACGCAGAGTATTCCGGAACAATGGACATCAAAGGAATTTTTTCAAGTGAAGCTTGAAGAATAATTCTCAACAACAGCGACAGCAAGCCATCAGACGGATAGTGCTGCCCCACCTCAAGAATATATCGGAACTGGCGACCAGATTGTTAGCTCCAAAAGGAATCGTCGTGGCCCACGGACCGAACGCCACCCTAAGGAAATTAATCTTTAGACTGAGGGACAATCGAGACAAAACCAAGTAGACCAATTTGATATACCAAATCAACTGCAACAACTGCAACAAATTCTACGTCGGACATACTCAGAAGAGACCATGCACACGAATAAAGGAACACAACGCGGCCGTCAGGCGGCATGACGCTCTGCCCTAGATATCCATACACGAGGACCAAGAAGGCCACAAATTCAATCTGGAAAAGGCTTAAATTCTGGCATATAGAGACACGAGACACGGAATACAATTTCTGGAATCGTGGTACGCTGCGGCAGATTTGATCAACCAGTGCATCGAACTGGATCCAATTTACGCACCCTTACGTGCAGAAGACCAACATCCCAACCGGAGCACACAAAGGGCGCCGTGTACTGGATTCACAAACAAAGAAACAAAGAACTCCTTGGAGGCAAATCAATAAAGGTCACAAGCCGGGACTCGAAAGGACAGAGGTCAGTCCAGCATCGACCAGATTTAGACAGCAGAGGATGCCAAGCTCAAAGGTCACGTGGTCCTCGGTGAATGGGGACACGGCAACGGAGCAACGAATGGAACCGCCCGGGCGGATAGCGAATCGCGACCAAAGGTCATCCCCTGCCAGCAGCACGTGTATTAACACACGCGTAACACTATTCAACGCATAACCACAAACCCATTGCTGCGCACCACTATACTCCCCAATAACGCACTGATGATGACAACTCGATTGGAGATGAAACGTTTGCAATCAAATTGCCCAGCTCAGCCAACAAACCAGCAAACATCTACGCTGGCTGAGCTACCGATATTTTTCTCTGTAGAATACTGATTATGCTGGCTGTTATCGTGAAGGGGCTAGTGAAATCAACAGGCACTAACCCTTCTGTCTCTGACATGGGGATTGCTTCCATGGGGTGAGCTTTAATCAGTTGGCATCGCTAACACGCCGCCACACAATCTATTGCCCCAGATCTTACCCCGGGCCTCGAGACCCTCTCTCAAAGTAATTTATAGGTCTTGGTGCACCTTGTGTGTGCCATTCCTCGGTGTTTGACAGTTAGCTTCCGTATCAGAACGCGAGTTATCATGGGCAACGAGACATCAGCAAAGGTGGTGTTCAAAGATATTATGCCAGCTTCACTCAGGTCAGCCTATCGGCTGGAAGATCTGATCAGTGATTCCAAAACACCTGATGTTTGCCACATACGTCGGTCTCAATACCGCTTCCATGAAACAGGTTGGTTGTGTAGCATCCAGTCGCCCACATACATGACTGTTCAGCTCACGGTCGCTCACTGGCTCGCGAGACTTGTTTTTTCTCATACTCACAAACACGTCACATTAAGCTGGCTCATCGGACATCGATTGTCGGTACCGTCTAGTGAGCAACTACTCATGTGCCGACGCGCAGTGAGACCTACATAAATGGAAACCGAACCCAGTCAGGACACAGACTCGCGCGCGCAGGGAGCAAGGAAGACAACCGCGTCCGCGGACAATCATGGAATGCATGTAGCAGCCAAGATGCGGAGAAAACAGGTTCCCGCCGTCCGAACTTTCACCAAGGGACTCCCGCATACGATAAGTTCCTTTTTTTGACTCGCTCCCATTTCGCGCTGTATTTATTTTTAAACGTGTTGCAACCATACTAAAAACTTTTATTAGTGCACATACACCTGATTTGTGTTATGGCCATCACCACCTGTGCACTAATAACTGGTGCTCCCTGTGTGCGCGCGTCTGTGGCCTAACTGGGTTCGGTTTCCCTTTATGTAGGTCTCAGTGCATGTACGTGGCCGCGTCGGCACATGAGTAGTTGCTACGCTCACTAGGCGGTGCAGACAATCGAAGTGCGATGAGTCAGTTTAATGTGACGTGTTTGTGAGTATGAGAAAAAAGACAAGCCTCGCGATCCAGCGAGCGACTGTGAGCCAAACGGTCATGTATGTGGGTGACTGGATGCTACAGTTGCAACCTTCAGTGACACAGGATCCTGACTTTGTGGCTGCACCAACCTTCCGGGAGCCAGTTCGATGACGAGGCTATCGGCACCAATCATAATCCCGAGGGTCTGATACCCAGGCTCTGGCCTTGAAAACCAATCGGTCAAGTGGTTCTCCTTCCGTGGCACTTGCCGAATCGTAAACTCGTACCCTTGTAGCCGATGTACCCTGCACGCGAGCTGTTTGCGAGGATTTCTGGTGGTCCTTACCTTCTCGACAGTTTAGTGATCGGCCTTGAGGGGAAATTTTTGTCCCAGCAAGTGTGCTTTCTACTTATCCAGGACGCGGATGATCTCTAAATATTCTTTCTACAGCTGAGTACTTCCTCTCAGCATTGGTCAAAATACGACTGGCACATTTGATACTTCCATTCCTCTGCTTTGGGGCTGCGCCGATTCTGAGGTCACTAGCATCCGGTGCAACAGTGAGCGCCTCTCCCTGAGCAATTTATGACCAAGCAGTGCCATCGAACCCCGGATTAACTGTGTCATGGTTCATTTTTCTCTGCAGGTCAGCTTCTCAAATAAGCTTCAATACATCCATCAAGTGACTCGCATGCCCTAGTTCCCAATTTCTCTGCACAACGCTATTGTCTCCGTACACAGGAACATTCTATAGTCCCTCCGTTAGACGAGGCATCGCAGGATGGCTAACCACTAGTCCAACCGCTTAAAGCAGATCCGAGAGAACATATAAGTGTTGCGCATGATAGAAATTTGGCGCTTCTCACGAATCCGCACAGGGAAATGATTGATTTTTCATATCTTTTTAGCTCACTACGATTCTGAATGAGACGACAAGACGACTGAAATATTTTTAGTATGCAACTCAGGCTTCCGAATTGGGTTTGATGCAGTTGGCCATAGAGGCATGCCGATGAAGCCAATCAAGATCCTACATGCCTACAAAGAACGTGTAGGTCATGGTAGTATAGACTAAGCCGTCTGTACTTCCGAACTGTTTATCTTTGGGAACGCCCCAAGGGGCATTTGGATGCATACAACATTACGGATTGTGTTGGTTATGCTGAAGCCTTTTCACCTCACCGCACTCCATCCACGAGCCTAGACAAATTTACAGCCACCCTCATTTCATCCTGAACTTTGTTTCAGGCTACAACTTTGAACCGCTGGCAAGTCTAGATAACAGCGATTAGTAGCTACCGCTCTTTGAACAACCTAAATATACTTGCCAATAATCCGAAGAACAGATACCCACATGGAACATGCCATCAAATGACTGACACATTTTGCCAATCTATCTTCGCCCAATCCCTTAAGCATTCTGACGGCACAAGGATGTTCGTAAATTCATAAACGCCGACCTGTCCCATGGTTGCCGTGTTTTCGGCGGCCAAGAACATCCTTCCTGTTAACCGCTTTTATCAGCTGCCTATCCATTTTCACGGAACCAGCGACGGAACATCTCTTTATTACTCTCCTGCCATCACCTCGACCATTACGTTTCTCTCTGGCCACTGGTTTGAGACCAGAAACGAACTACAATAGCATGCCCAACGTCGGGCCTCCAACTTCAGCTATTATATAGGTGGCCTGCACCGCCAACACCATTTGTTCTCATCGACCCTCATTTATAGAAGACTTGAGGCAGATCCACTACAATCCTACGATCTTTTAAAGCAAAACGCAGAGCACATTTTTCTACAGTTTTCACCTGGAAAGTCACTCCCTCTAACCTTATCAGTAGACCCCGAGGAGACCTCTCGCTCCGCATACCTGCCTTCGTATCTGAGGCCCTTACACACCGCGTCGAGGAAATCCACTGATAATAGTCGGGCTAATTTTCTCGTGTCCTGAACCCAGGCGTTATACAGGTCACCACGCGCAAATTCTACAATGCTTATTGTCACACCCGTCAATGTAGCATATGCCATTTAATCCCATTATTATTCGGATACACAGTCATTGGCCTCACCAAGCCGATTGAAGGTGAGGCAGTAGTTGACTTCTTTATTTCATCTTCTCTAGTCCAAGGCTGAAGACATAAAGCCCACTCAGCTACCCGGGTCTACGACCCTTCGGAGTCCATTAGAGCGGTGTGGTATGGTTCTGGCTAACCCACTCTCCGCCATCGAGGGCGATAAATTTAATGCAGACTGAATCGATAATCCAGTCAACTTTCGGGTCTCTAAAAGTATGTACCTGCAACTCTCAGTGGATGAATATGGACGACCTGTGGCCTGTGCCACCTTCCTGTCCAACCAGTGGCCAAGTTCCTGTTGAGTACTCTGCCGGCTCCCGAATCCGTAGGTTTTCCGCTTTCAACCTTTTCCATTCTTGGTACGCAAGACGTGAAAATTAAGGATGGCAAGCACAAAATCTAAGCGCCGTACACGTAACCGTACACAGCGATATACGTCGAACGTGTTTTCAATGTTTACGGAACCCCAGATAAACGAATTCAAGGTGAGGAGATTTCGACAACCTTTTCAAGTTTTTACGAAGTATTCATATTGGGCATTTATTTTTCTTGACCTTCTGTTGCACTCAGTATTCGCACAAGGTAATTAAGTTTTCAAAAGCCATGTCGTGTCCCTGGTGGACTAAAGCAATCGGGCAATTGAGTTCAGGGTACCAGTCCGAATTCTTGAGCCCCATTTAGGCATACCGGGCTCTCAGCGAAACTGGGAGTTTATTCCACTAGACTTTTCCAGTATGGTTTGGTTTCTTCAGTGGACGAAATTTGGCGAACTGCGAAAATATGAGCGTGGATTAAGATGATTTTTGGTTTGAGCACATACGCATCAAAATGCAACATTGCGTTGCAGAAAGGTTTACTCCCCACGTAAAGGTTTTGCAGCTAAGAGCATTGTGCGGCTAATGGCCCCGTCTTATGGACGGACGATCAATTTGCGTTTGTGGTGTATGAAGCCACCAGTCAATTATGCTTGGTATGAAGGACATTTCCTCACAAATGTACTTACGTCCGGCTATTTCGTGCTGAACTCATCTTATTTCCACAATTCGCACTGCATAAGAGTAATACAGTACTGCAAAAGTCTATCCTCTGTTTCTCATTCCATTCGTGTATCCTTGCCTCGCACTACCTCTAATTTGTGCGACAAAAGCGAGTATGAGCTGTCAAGGCCTTGGTAGGTAAGGTTAGGACCACCTAAAATCAGTGAAAATGGCGGAACATGAAGTAGGATACCTGGCTCACCACCCTACAGCGACCATAAAACCACTTGTTACCGCGTCCCTGAGCAGTGAACAATTTGGTAGGGTCGGTAAGGCATCTGATTGCACAGACGACGGACAATTCGTTACAAAGTGCGCTATTCGTGAATTACTCACGGACCTATACACCTTGGTTGTGGTCACAATCTGGTTATACAGAAGCACTGACAACTACAAGTATACATATATTGGTGCAAACGATCAGTTTCTAGTGAAGTCAATAGTCACCGCTGTATGAACTAAAGCCAGGCAAATGATTTGGTTACAACAAGCAACGTCCTGTCACCTATAGTGCCATATCACGTGCTTGGGCATCGAAATCAGCTACCACACGAGTCGCTCCAACATATCCTATTTAGCGCACTGTCCGGTAACAAAAAGCGCGATATTCGTGACATTACAGCATCCTTGACGTGACGTAAGTGGTGTTCCATCATAAAGATCATCCCGAATATCGTGTATAGCATATTTAGTTGAAAAATACCAAAGAATCGTGGACAAGAGATTCAGCTTGGATGCACATTTCTGAGTAGGTCGTCTAAGCTCGCGCATCGCTGCGCCGCCAAGATATTTCATGACCGAGGGGTTACCTATCGTGAGTCTGCCTCATTTGAGTTGTGCTGTCGCTTGTGAGAGGTCCTCAGGTGATTGAATACTTATGGGATTTTGCTGGTCCTAGATCCTTTTTGCCACTCGTGAACCGCAGAAGTAATGAACTAGAGATCTGGCATGTACATCTTGAACTTCGACGCCGCTCCTACCCTCAGGTTTACCACACGTGACACATCCTACCTCCGGATGTTCGATCCACTTCCTGCGCCGTCGGACCTGCCCATACACGAACTGCACTACCGTACTAACCACAGCGAAAACACCCATATTGCTGACAAGACCTATCTCCAAACCGCGGCACCCCATGGAATAGAAACTTCTGTTCATTCAGCTGTAACACCCTTTCGGCCCCTATCCGCCATACCGCCCTAAGGGAGCACGAGGGTTAGGATACTGCCAGGTTGCCCAAGCCTAGACAGGGAAAGTCGAGAGACAGGTCGGTTTCAAATTTACGGACCTTCCAGTCAGTAAATTCGCGCTCTAACCACAGCCATATACCTACCCCATATGTACCTATCTATACCTACCTTCGGGTAGTTGGGCACCGAAAGGGCGTTACAGCTGAACGATTTTTCAGACACTTTCACGTAGTGTGGATAGAAAGTGACAATGAAAACGCTATTGACATCGATTAGCAGCCATATCTTGTAGCGTCTCCATCGGCGCGCAGTGGGGATCAGGCGGCACCCATCCTTCAAGGCGAGTAGATCCCATGGCGTTTTGTAAACCCTTTTATACCCGTCTGCCACCTCTGCTTCTGCCCCCACTCTGAGTTGAACACCCTCCACTCGCTCCCGACTACCAGATACTGCTGGGGCAGGGCTTGGTGTCATCCTAAGTCACTGAACTGAAGGATCTTTGCTTGTTTTGATATCCATTGTTAATCCCGTCTGCACTGTTCGTCTAGAAACGTCTGTTAAGTGTCTCACAAGTGGGAAATCGACCGGTGTCTGTTTACACCCTAACGGACCATAGCTCTGAAATAATCGAATACAGGTTTTGTGACGCCCTGAATGTCCTGTTGCTGCAAGCTAGGAGCTCAGATATCTTGGTGGTTTCCGGAGATCTGAATACACATATGAGATTCAAATAGGTGGTCCACATGGATTGGACCCGGTATGTACGGACATTGCTGAACGACTGCTCCAGCTGTGTGTTGATCGCAGGCTGTTTTTTTGCAGTATTAACTTCCGAAATAGCCGAAGTTGTCCGGCCACGTGGTGTCTTCCAACGGCATGCCGGCTACGAACTCGAATTGATCACACTGCCACCAGTTACCGGTGTCGCAGGTCATTATCTGATTTCCCCTCGTTTTGGAGCATACTTGTGGATTCCGACCACGCACTCACTTCTTATTTCGTCTTACAGGACCGCATAAGATGCGGGAAAATTGACTGACGACTGAGAGAGAATGGCAGATCCAGATTTCCAAATGTTCCACCATCAGATGTCAGTTCACACTTAGTCGAGACAGCCACCTCCTTGCACAATGCTGGGGGTTTTGTCTGTGGGATGACGCTCTCAAGCACTGGATATCAAACCAAACAGTGGCACTACTTACATCTCGGACAAATATCCCAACCGGTGCCGATCATAACATGACGGGACGAATTATCAGACGTCAAGGGAAAGTGAGTCTGTGAGCCCACCGTGAAGTCTGTTGGACACGGAAAGCCAAAGAAATGAAAGAGACTCAGAAAACTGAGAACGCCCGGTTCAGCTGAAGCTGAACCGTGCTGCCGGTCCCGGAAACCTGTGGGTGAAACTACCAAAGATCAGACCGGAGCGCCCTCTTGAATAAGGAAGAACGCCTCGGCCGGTGGGCAGAATACTTCGGACAGCACCTACCATGGCCAGTAGCTGCCACTTATCTGGAGTCCACAGCTGTCGTGGAACCCTGGACGGTGAACGTTCAACACCTATGGTCCCGGAAATTTATGAATGCATATGTGCCCTCAAGCGCCACCGATCTGTTCCGTATGACATCCCACCCACATTGTTCATAGATGGCGGTGAAATCCTCAGTCAGCGCCTATCTAGTCTCTGCATTTGGGAAAGGAGACTGTCCCACACGTTTGGGGAGAGTCGGTGATAGTGCCCATCCTCAAAACGGGGTTTGTAGTGAGCGTGGTAACCATAGATGGATCAGCTTTACCTGGGTCGTAACGAGACCGTTGACGTCGCCTTATAGTCCCTCGTAAAACGCTGACATGAGAGCTGCAAGCGGGATCCCGGCCTAATAGGAGTTGCATTGACCAAATCTTCACACTCCATCACGTGCTGGAACAACGCCATACGTACAAACGACCCACAATTCTAGTGTTCCTGGATTTACAAGGTGCATTCGACTCGACTGACCGGTATGTTCTTGACACAGTTGCCCATCAAGGAATGACCCTGAAGTTCGTGAACACAAAGCTCTTTGCATTCTCGGTCTTCTGGACACGTGAGACTGTATGAAGAGCTCTCCAAAGCTCTCATACACAAAGTGGTGTTCGTCAGGGATGCCCACTCTCTCCATTCGTGATCGGTGAAATAATAAGACAAGGGCTGGATGCTTTCCAAAACCCCGGTGTTCAGATAGCCTGTGACGAAAACCTTGTCGATATGGAATATGCAGACGACATCGTTCTCGTTTTCGAAGAGAAGGTGCAGATGTGTTAGGGCGGTCAGGTCCCAACGAGCAATGCTACCCTTTGTAATATTTCACTGAGATTTCATTTCCTCTCTGTTGTAGCCAACTGAGCCGCAGCACTCTTTCTTCCATTGGTTCATCTGCAATATAGCCGATCTTCATCTGATGTCCTTTGTCTTCTTCCTTGAGGTTTTCCCACTCAAGTTACTAGACTATCAACGTGACAGAACAAATTGCATCAAGCTCCTCAATCACTCAGCTAGCACCCACGACACAACAAGGTGTTTTCGGATGTACTCACCAAAGTCATCCCGTCCTTTTGTATACACTTTGCACCCACAGAGTGTAAGGTCATACTGGTGGCCATACAGTCACTGAACACGCCAATTACGATCCAGGGAGAGGCACTGGAAGTTGTGAGGCGTTTTACGTACCTTGGAAGTTGTATTAGCTCTGATCGTAGCGTGACAGATGAGTCTCGGGTCACGTTTGCTGATTTGAGACACCTATGGCGTCAAAGCGGTATATCCCTGAATCTCAAGAGACGCGTGTACCAGGCTACAGTGCGGGCTGTTTCGTTGTATGGCTGTGAGACCTGGCATGCTCGAGTAGCGGAACTGAGATGTCTTCAGGCCTTCAACAACCTTTGTCGCAGAACCATGGCCCGTGTCGGCGAATTCGGTTGTGCTGCCGATAATGATAAGGCATAAGACTGGTTGTGGACTACTTGTTGGTTTGTGTGATTTTTGGAGACCAAAGATAAGGTCTCTCCGCCATTTATTTAATTTGGATTTCCTGATATTCGTTAAACAACATGGTGGTGACTATTCTTGGCTATATTGATCGTCAGATCCGGTAAATGATTCTTAGAATTAGTGGAATTCCAAGTGTTTTTGGCCTAATATGCCCCCACCTTGAATGTGCCACGTTTCACGTAGTAATCAAAACTGATGAGCTATCCCACTGTCAAAGTCCCTATGTACAAGCTAGTGTATTATTCTCGATTCACATCAACTTCGCTGCATACGACTACGTTTCAAATTCAAGTGCGACTTTTCATGCACCGGCCCGAGTCATCTAGTAACCTTTGTGTCACTTTTCAGGAGGCATTCTCTCTGATCGATTCAAATAAGGATAGCATCATTGATCAGAGCGATCTTGAGGAGATTTTCCGATCGTTGGGGAAGACTCCTACTCAGGCCTACCTGGACGATATGTTGTCCCAGGCCAAGGGGCAAATTAACTTCACCATGTTCCTAACTCTGTTTGGAGAGAAAATGATGGGATGTGATCCAGAGGAGGCAATTATGAACGCATTTGCGTGCTTCGATCCAGACGGATCTGGTAAGTTAGCCCCCTTCGGAAAGATATCCTGCTGAGTTTTGAGGAGTCCGTGTGTTACCATCTGTGGGACGTCGTCGTTCCTGTGCCCTGTGGCAATCGGGAGGAGCCCTTCGTCTTTTGTAGTCGATAGTTCAAATCCTTGAATGTGGTTTATACGATAGGTTGTACACGAATTTCTTGCTTCATTGTTTACTCGTGGTTCGGCGAAAGCACGGCATTTCTGTCTTACCATCCATGTACTAGTCAATTCAAGACCATCCAGCGAAACAGTAACACTTCTGCTGACTAACTCACTGATTAGTAGAGTGACTCGGCTGTCTTTACGCCGCCTTCTGCTGTATATGCGAGCATTATGAGCCTAATTTCAACGATTTGTTGTTGCGGAACTTGCTGTTTGTATCGTGAATGGATGTGCATTTTTTAGCTGCACTTTGCATTTCGTTTTCACAGGAGTCATACCGGAAGACCGTTTGCGGGAACTGATGACCACCATGGGTGATCGGTGGACACACGATAAAGTTGACGAACTGTTTCACGGAGCACCAATTAGTAACGGCAATTTCGACTACAAAGAATTCACTCGGATGATCATGCACGGTCAGGATGAAGAAGATAATCAATCCACGCGAGCTTAGTTGCTTTGTTCTTTCTCAATTTGCTTGGCTCTTTATTGGCAGTTTGCGAACAAGTCGAACGGCACCAGACTCCAGTTAGCCTTTGCATTGCTCAGCATAAATTTTATTCCCCTTTTGGCTATATGTCTCGTTTATAAAGTCGTTTTCTCATCATACATTTCCACCAACCTCAGGTGTTTTTGTATGTGAATGAAACCAGAACATCGCTGGGAAACAGGGCATTTCAGTGTCTTTACATGGGACAAACCGAAGCTAGACACCGAGTATTAGCAGGTGCTAGCGTTCCTCCGCTTCACTTATTTCTGCGATGCCTCGAATCCTTTGGTCTTAAAGCTGACTAGACATCAAACAAAATCATTGTACTATGGCGGAAAACACTAGGGACTGAAGTGTCAAGCAAGATCTTTGGTCTTCCTATGTAGAGAAACAGTTGAGGCGGAATGTGTCCGATTGAACAGTCGAATTAATCTTCAGCGTACTTTAAGAAGCAACCGCCACGCAGTAAGTCATAGTTCCTCCGCGCTGTCTTCTTAAACGTACTTTTACTCGACATTAAATTCTTATGAGATAACGAACCCAACCGCCACGGCTAGAGTCACTAGACAGTCTGCAGGAACTGTCTATATTTAACGGCGGCTTTTGCTCCTTTCCAAGAAATTGGTGGACCAAGTGGTTAGAGCGCGAATTTAGTGACCGGAAGGTCCATGGTTCGAACCCGGCATCTGCCTGTCGACGTCTATCTAGGCTTGGGCGACCTTGCAGTATCCCAGCCCTCGTGTGGCATAGCAGCTAGACACCGGAAGGTTGCTACAGCTGAACGATTATTAATTATCATTATTATCAAGAAGTTGATAAAACCGAAAACTGTTTTCTATGTCCACCTGATGATTCTCAACGCAGATGGTAAGGTTCACGTCACGGAGCTTTTCGGACCCGACGATGTCTTATCCAAACCAATCACTTCAACTTCAATTTTGCGCTGAGATAGATTTCAATCCACGGGCTAAGACCGCACCACAACACCCTCTAGAGCTGATGTCCACAATGATGGTCTCTGCCGATGAACACATTCACACTGAGCAATTCGCTTGACTCCTAAGATTAGTTGCTAAACTTCATTTGAATGTATGGAAATAAGACCCAGCCTAAGCCTTAGGGATAAATTGCTTCAACTAGAAAGAAATTATGGATGAAGCCGTTCGGCAACATGTCCCACTCCAGATGGCGGCAAGCGCATTGGATTAATCATTGCAGAGAAGACTGGTGGATCAGTTAGGACGCTCAGCGAACAAACCAAAGACAACGTAAGGTGTGTGGAAGCTGCGACCTCAACTTTGATGGGCCGCGTCTAACGCAGTCAGCACGTGGTTGCATCAGATCCTAGTTGTTTATTTCCGACCAGTCACTACATTGCGAATTGAACTGATCTCAGATTTAAGTTTGCTCAACGAACATCAGTTGATAAATAATTCTTTCCTGTTCTGGTGTCCCACACCGGACTTAGTTGAATATATCATGTGAATACTTTCTTCGTGGTGTGCAAAAGACTGCTGAATTTCACCCTTGTTCGCATACCAGGCCGGGGGTAATACAAACAGAGCGTATGCATAAATAGAGCGTTTCTCTACCATGCACTCAACAAAGTGGTGGGAATAACTATAAGGTTTTCCGGGTGGAAAAGATATGCCCCATTTGGCTGCACATGATTACTAAAAACGAAGTAAATTGGGTCCCTTATTGAGTTCCTGTATATGTTTGGCATATTGGCGGTTGTGGGTGTTGGATTAAGAAGTTTTGTCAAAGCTTTATGAATGACGAAGCGTTAGCAAGTTTGCAGCATTTTTCAGGATTCAGGTTTGTCCTCCAAGCATAGCTTGGAAGTCAAGTACCGTAGTAGGCGAATAAAAGAAACTGTGAATCCTCATGCTCGCTATCACATTGGCTTCCGACAATCCCTACATCTGGTATGAAGCGAGAGCGAGGTAGACTGCTGGATGCACGACCCCCAACCCATTCTTGTGATCCACCTCTTCCTTTTCTGCAGCGACCACTTGGCGGAAAACGTTCTCTCACAACACCCCACAACTAAGTGGTTTCTAACATACTATGATAACCCAATACCTGAAAATTAGACATGGTATTCTCGATAATAGTAGGGGGGCATCGCCACGTTAATAACGAAAATAATGATTCTAGATGAGTTCCAAAACAATGAAAATACTGCATGTGGGTCCTAAATTCCCCCCGAGATTACACCGGAGGACAAACAATTACTTTTGTTTCTCATTGAGTTTCATTGCGTAATCTTGCTTGTGCTCTATTTTTTCTACGTTCTACTGAGTCATAAGATACCCATTTGTGGCAACCAGATTACAAGAAAGGCAGAACGAGAGACCCCATGGGGAAGAGCAATTATAACAATACAGTCTCGAATACAGTTGTAAAGGTTTCCTTCTCGACCCGTGTGACCTTCTGGTTGCTTCCCCGGAAAGGACAGCATCCCAACGCAGCTTGGTGAATCACTCCGGACGACCGCGTAGGGTGATTACACACTGATAAATGCCGGTTATTATGCAAGTATCACAATGCCCCCAACCGAGGTAACTCATTAGTAGTTTGCATCAACTAAAAGGTTCGCCATTCCTATGTAAGCCTCTGGATTGAGAAAGACAGCAATTATAAGTGCGTTTAGTGCAGATCAAGATGTGCACAGTCAAGGGACCTCCGGTATTTTGTTGCGTCTGCTGTTTCATGGATGTCTGGATTCAAACATTCTGGTTTCCTATGAAGATGATTCATTAGACTGTCTTGTTTCGAAGACGACCTGAGACTACAGTCAACAGGCTGCACTCCGGAAATCCTATTAAGGTTGGAAAAAACAGTGACCTGCGTGTTCAATGCAGGTCAGGTGTGCTGTGGACATATTCCATAGCGAATTAATTTTCAAAAGCTCAACTTACTACGGGTGGAATGTTGTTTTGTCTAAACACTATAGTTTGCTCCAGTAAAAAAAGCATCTCAATCTCTCACCATAGATTCGCTTTCGCACCATATCCACTACAACATGAAGTGGTCTAGAGTCTTCCGCTAGTCGGAAACATGCAGATAGCACTATTTAGCCCTGGTGATTCAGCTCACTCAACACTTCCAATTCGCGAGCCTAGGACAACCACGGAGGGTAACTTCACAACAGTAACCGGTTTTGCACAGTATTCAATTTCCAACTTAGAGCACAAGATAAAATGAGCATGCGGAACACAGCTTACGTGAAGAAAAACAACAAAAGTTCATGGACAAAGCACCCCACTTCGTCACTTGAAAACGGCCTACATCACACACGAGCATACAAAGCGTTACAAAAGGAATGCAAAGATCGTCGTGTTCACCGTTAGATCGAACAAGTTCACCTCACTCGCACAAGATACTATGCCAACTCAGCAGCCACAATGAACTATATCCGCAAGTCAGGACTGACCAGATCCATGAGCCGAATAGGTCCGATTCAATCATAAGCTGCACAAGTACTCTGGTTACAAAATCCTGCAAGGCAGGAAAATCAACAGCATTGGCTTGGATTTGAATACCCTTCTCAAAGAATGACAGGTGGATGTAGCACACAAGAAGGAGAAGAACCGGAGGTGAAAGTAGGATCCAACATAATCCGAACAGACAGGAGAGGAATCTGGAGAATGCAAAGAGTGGAAATGAAAAACTGCGTGATCTAGATAACAGATGGGAGGTGGTCTATCCAACACATGATAAAAAACTGCAAGGTGGAGCGACGCTAATGTAGCACACTACCCAGCACCGAGATCACTTCAAGAGCCTGTAACTTCATGACAGGCCTATAACACTCCCGTTTCACGGGTTGTTCATAATAGCATTATGGCTGTCTGTGGGCATCCGTAAATGTTTTACTGCTGCATACATCGTTATACTGTCATTCACCCAATGCCTATAATCCGAATCACCCTCAGTCACACAGTGACAATACTATTAGCTTAGTCTGTAGTTTCCCTACGTTTGCACCTGCTCCGTATTATCTTCGAACAATGGCTGTGGTCAAGCGATATCAAGTGTCACTCAGTAAGCTCAAAAAATAGAAGTGGGGCACATCTAAACGTAGTTGAGAAGTGAACTGCACCAAACTGAAAGAGCAACCGTGAGACCAGCGTGCAGATGAAGGACGTAAAACGACTCACAAACATCCAATTGTCACCCTTTTCTGTAGCCATTTTTTTCGAAAAGGGAGGGCGAGGTTACAACGAGAGTGGACCGCATGTGACATAGCTCTATTTTTTTATCCACGGGGGAATGAAAAAAAAAACAACCCAAGAAACAGAAATCTTACTTTGAGTGATTTGAGTAGCGCACAAATATCAGTAACACGGGTACCACAAGGGCACTGAGCAACAAACTGGCGGACACGTTCAGACAAGCCATACATGTGAGGAGAAGCGTCCAACTGATCAACAGGACAGAACTGGTCCATGGTCGTTCTGTCTGACATTCACGGGCAACGCAGAAACTAGAGGTGAAGGAAAACAAGCGAGGTTCTAGGTTGGACAAAAAGGAGAAACATGAAACTGTCCAACGCATAATTTGCACACTTCTTTGAGCCCCCAGGATGATTCATGGTCGAGATCTCGGTAAATAGTACATAATAACAGAACACAGCGATCATTACAGTAAGAAAACAAGCTATGATTAGTGTAATCAACAGTCGAACCGGTTAAAAGCATCGCGTTTGACTTTGATTGCCTACGGATAGTCCGCACACGACCTGTTCGTGAGATTTTCGACTCCAAACCACGGCGTATGAATGGTGGTGAAGCATGTCACGGAGATAGTAAAAGCTCCTTCCTCAGAGGGAAAGTGTGAGGCTAGTAATATTAAAAACAAAAATGGGGTGAAGGTGATTGGTTTTGTCTATTCCAGAATTAGTGTTGTGGTTGAAGGAAGTGTGTTCTGGTGCGCCTGGGATGATAGCAACTACACTTTTACTACGTCAAGACATCCCAATACTTTCCATACACCATCACTGTCTCGCAGTAAACCAAAGACTTGCCGCGGAGTCCAGATGTCCCAAAGGATACGCGCCTAACCTGCAACATGAAAGCTTTAGACCGTTGTCGGGATATTTTAGGGCTCTTGCTTGAATCACCTTGAGAATTTTATCGAAACACGAAAACCGCTGGGACATCTTAACAACAAAAAGGTGTATTCAATGGAACGAAAGACGAAACCACAATCTAGGATTGACAGATCTGTACACATGGGTTTGGTGTTAAATTGTCCATGATGCCGTTGCCAACACTAACCACCAGATCACCCTAAAATGGACGATTCAACAGAGGATAATCAATAACTGTTCCCGATGATCGCCAATTGCCGGGAGCAGTACAAGCGTTCACTAGGACATTAATATGGAGATTTCAACTTCCCGAGAACTAACAGCGATGAAAGAACACCTACTAGTAGTCCAAGTAAACAACACAGGACTGATATTCAGAGTCTAAGATTTACAATCAGCCTGCTCATTCAGAGTTCCTTATCATCAACCAAGGTAGCAAATTCAGGGGTGTCACATGGAGAAGTATAGCTACCCGAATGTGAGGTTGTGAGCATTCCGTGAATGATAACACGAAAAAGATGATCTTGGGAGATTTACCCAGTCCCAGCAAAACCGCCATCAACCTTCAAAGCCAAGGAAACCTCCATGCTTGATGAGCCACAATAAACACAATAAACTGACGGCTAGAAAACTCCGTCAGCGAACACTTGACGACGTCCAATCAGAAGGTATGGCTTTCGCCAAGAATAGTTGGCATTGGGCCGAATATGCAAATCTGAGGCAAATCTTATCGTATTTCGGAGAGTATCCCGGAAAAGAAAAAGCGAACTTCCACAAGTGCGACAAACTGCCTCGCCTTACCACGGTCCCGATCAAGGGAGACGGCAATTACCCACGCCATTGGTTGGACTGCTAAAGGGTCTCACGCCTCGTTATTCGTTCATGGCTCTTCGAAGTCCAGTTGACATTTTGGGTGATGTTTATTGAACAATGCTGTTCGTAGTGAGTGGACGATTATGAGAGAGTATGATGACGTGGAGCTGATGCACAGCAACCCTGTAGGACGGATGTGCTACCGCTTGGTGAGAGCTGTGTAAACAATGGACAAGGACCTTCAAAAGGACAGAATCCTTCAGCTTTACCGTTAACTTCCTCTAGGTGAACGCTACCAGCTAGTCTAAGATCAAATATAATAATCTGCCGGACGAAAAAATGATCGGTAAAAGCAACTTCGTCATGGACAAGAAGTCTGTCTTTTTGGTTTTAAAGAATCAAACAACTCATTTGCATCCATTGCAAACACATAGGCACACCGATAGAAAGTAGGACAAAGTTACAGGTACAAAGCGATGTGGCAAGAGCACACAAATCAGACCGATGTCTACTACAAAAGCACACAAGCAGTATTGATCGGCTGACAAAACTGGCATACCAGTCGTTACACAGTATCACGTGACCGATTCGTACACGTTAAGCGTCGCTGAATTCAAAAGCAAATAGACTGAAGGCTGGCTGCGTAGGCATGTTCACCATGCGCGGATCCACTGAGAAGGACAATTTTATATGGTACAGCAAGTTAGTATAGTTGAGCAGTAATGAATGCAGAGAGGTCTACGGACAAGGAGAGTGAAGCAAAGATGAAGTGTATGTACACACACGTAACTAACTGTTGAGTAATGATCGCATAGGCAGTCTTCGTATAAAAAACGATCAGGACGCATTGATTTAGTAGGTACTGAATAAGTACGTTTCTGCACAGCGATGATTATGATTCTGAAACCAACGTACGTCCACGCTTCACTAAAAAAATTCCAGTTTGGTGGACACGATGAGGAAAACCTCAGCAGCCACGGTCAAACAAGTTCGCGCTCTTTTGACCCTAGGCACCAATGAACTTGCAAGAAAATTGACCCAATTCTGAGTTTCAGCGGGGCGTCTACAGATGAAAAATGGACAGTTAGAGCCGCCAGTTTACATCCCTGCCACAGTGGCGACGGTCAATCAAATTTTTCTTGGTGGGATGGTCGTTAATTCGCACTGTTTGTTTTTAGTGCAAACTGAGCGATTTTAAAGTAGCCTCTTGTGAGGAAGATCCTAACAGCGACTACGATTCAGAGACAGAACTAAGGTGTCCATGGATGCGGTTAAATAGCGACAACCAAACGATATGAACACAATAAAAGGTCCCTAAAGTGGAGTGTTAAGGAATCATCGAGGGACTCGTATACTCCGTAGTTGATATCAACAACAACATAGCTGACATACTGAAGTCGGCTCAAGATACGACATCTGCAACCTATCGAAATGATGCACGCTGGGGAACGAGTTTTGTTGAGAGGTGGCTCGGTCAGGTCCAACAAATTGATAAAGGGTCCGAAAAGCGACAAAAGTCTCCAGAAGCTAGAGATATGGCAGCTAGTGAAGCCATACCATTCTTCAGGACTCAGTGGAAGTACCGCAGTGGTGCAGGTTTTTCACCAAAGCGAGTGAAATTACGATGAAGGGTTGATCGCGGTGTCAGATGACCTGTAAAGGGCACGAACGGAAGCAGGACACGTTAAAGGAGAGTGATCCTCATAGGTCACTTTTCGATTCAGGATTCGTTTTAGCTTTCCGAAAGCCGAAGACCCAACACAGGCGTTTGAGGTGGCGGACTACATGAGGCTCCGACCGACTGACTGATGGTATCTCTCGAGAATAGTAAGTAAGCTAACACTCGGGAGAGAAAACAGTGAGTGAGCGAATCTGGACTGACGTCGACAAACACACTCATTTGCATATCCATTCAGTTTTGACGGGAGACTCACCTGGAACCCAGCTGAATCTTTCGTTTGTCATATTCTTAAGCAACTAAATGTGCTGCACCAGGCCACACCAGTTGGTACGATATTTGAGATATTGCGATACACTGTATAGGCGTAATGCAAACGGGTGTATTTTGCTAACTTCGTGCAATTTTGGTTCAGGTAGATCATAAGGTTGACGGAAACTCGGGAACTGTGCCTATCTGATGCGTCCCGAGAAGGGCAAAACCAGCCGCGGGCTGTCGAGGAGTTTTCACCAGGCTTATGAGTCGTGGACTGACAACCTTTCGGTTGTAGGCTAAAGAGGTGATACATCAAAACTGAGGTTTTCATTACGGTGCACGGTTTGTTGTCTAAACTCGTCAACAAAATCAAGAGAAATTTCGAAGTTGCGTGTGATATTTTTCTGGAGCGTCTGAATAATCTGGTTTAGGAACTTTCCTAACCTGTAATTCGACGTAGTTGCATAAGCTAATTGGCGTCCGTTGTTTACGGGCTTTTGGTAGGTCATAAAAGCTCCATTTTGGGTTGCTAATAGATTCTGTTCAGACAAACCAAGCTTCTCTTTGATCTTTCGTACATAGCTACTGGTTTGAGACTTGACTTTATTGAGAACACCGTTCCATTTACGTTGCGCGTACTTGCTGCAGAGTTGTTCTAGCTGCAACAGTTTCGTTCGCCAAAGATTTGGGGACGTGGGTAGGTAGGTAAGCATTGGAAGTGGTAGCTGATACAATTGATACGTAAATGTGTCAGTGAAGTTATCATTAGGGAGTTTGGAAGACGAGTATTAGTGCACAGATGCTGATAGCCATAATTTAGGGAGTTTGAAGACGAGTATTAGTGCACAGATGCTGATAGCCATAATACAAATCAGAAGGTGAATGTGCACTAATAGAAGTTTTTAACCTGGTTGCGACACATATGAAAATGAATACAATGCGAAATGGGAGCAAGTCAATAAAGGAACTAATCGTATGTGAGAGTTCCTTGATGAAAGTCCGGACAGTGGGAACGTGTTTTCTCCACAGCTTGGCTGCTACACGTATTCCATGATTGTCCGTGGACTTGTGGAGAGGTTGACGTCCTGCTCCCTGCGCGCGCGCGAGTCTGTGTGTCTTGACTGGGTTTGGTTTCTCTTTATGTAGGTCCCAGTGCGTAAACGTGGGCGCGTCG